ATTTCAGTCGTATAGCAAGCATTTCCATATACCAGAGGGAGATTGTTGGCTTTGAAAGATCAGCCAGTTTTGGGTTTTTTTTCTCATTTTTCAACGTCCATTTTGTGCCCCAAGTTATGCGTTAGTTCAACTACTCACAATCATATCTTGACCTTAAATGTGAAAATGTTTGTCAAGAAATTAAGTAATTAACCTTGGCTGTTTTGGAGTTTTGTAGTTTGCTTCTCTTTGCTTAAATTGGCTTGCTACTATAGACATCATTGAGTGAACTTTGAACTATCCAATAAATGTCAGATAACAGATTTTTGAAGAGGAGTATTTAGAAAATCCAAGGTTGGTCTTTGGGGGGGTGAGGGGTGGGGCGGGTACTAACCACGAACTGGATGCTACTAAAAAATTGCCCTGGTATATGGTTGGAGTAGGAGTTTCTTTTTGGAGATTAAGGTTCTTTCTTACTCTCTGATTATTGAGGTGGACATTCATCTTAATTTGATAACTAAGGGTACTAGGGACAATCATCATGAAATTGCTGATATTTTACTGGGATTTGGCATGTATTGATACAAATGTGCCTTTGGTGTGTCATAAATTAAGAACCACTGTGCTATATCTACACTCATTACCTATACAAATATGAGGAAAGGCCATTATGGTTTCTCTTTAATTTCTTTATGCTGTTATGTCTAGATGAGTACAATCCGCCTTTCCCGTTACTACTTTAACTGAATGTTAGAATCCCTGTTCTTGTTCTAGCACAAACAGGGCCAATTAGAATAACTGAGTATAAAATTAATTCGAGCCTCAATCAATCTAATTCTCCCTTCAATAAGATTCCGTTGGAGCATACTTTTTATTTGATCAGATAAGTAAGACGACTTCTTTACTCAGGTATAATGTTTTGGTAAGGTTAGCTTCGACATTTCTTATATCTACTCATTGATTGGTTTAATCTGAGGTTTTAAAACTCAAGATGTGGATATTTTAGGGGTTGTAAAATTTTAAATTGTTTGATTGATTGGTGGTTTACTGTTAATTATTTTTGGATCTTGCAAGTACAAGTTGAGTTTATAGTGGATATTTGGATATGCTTCTTAATCTGGTTATAACATGGTTTGCTGAACTATGCTATGGATGTGAGGAGAAGGGTTTGATTGTTTCTCATTTCTACAATAAGTTTTAATGAAGAATGGATTCTTAATATGTTGAATTCATTAAGTTTATGCAGTTCCTCTTGTTGGGAGCTGTTCCATTTCCAAAGGATGTGCCTCGACTGAAGCAGCTTGGAGTTGGAGGTGTTATTACTCTGAATGAGCCCTATAGTTGGTATCCGTTCTCTGTAAATCAATGTTCTCTTGTTATGGTTCTTATAATAATAAGTTTTGACAGTATTGATGTTTACTGAATGTGTGCAAAAATGATGTGTAAATGTGCTGCACAAAACATGGTGTATTTTTCCTATATGACTAATTAATTTAGTTTCAGTTGAAGCTTGGTATCAGAATTATTATTATTATTATTATTATTTTCAATTTGTAAGCTAAAAAAAAAAGGACAATGAGTGCCTTTCCTGTAACAATGAATTCCTATGTATATTTTCAATAGAAGGTTAGTTCCTAATTTATCTTTGTAATGACATGGAATCAACACCAAACCTTCGTTTTTTTTTAATTTATGTTTTTTTTTTTTTACGAATTCGATCTTGTCTTTTCCATCCTTTACTATTTAGGTAATAACACAGGACAAAATATTTGATTATGACATGCACGTACACATACCTCCATGGCTCTACCCACTAGACCACTCCTCAGCATAGACATCTCCTGTATAAAACATGTACACCCCAAAACCATACCTAAGCCCTTGTCTGTACTTCCCTCTATACCGGCTACCCCTCGCCCATGTCTCAACTCCATATCCATCGTACTTACCATCTACCCAATCTCCTTCGTATTTCCCACTCATGTAATAGCAATAAACCCCACTCCCACTACACTTCCCCTTATGATATTCGCCCTTATACACATCCCCGTTGTTCTATGCCTGTACATAAGACCTTGAAATTGCCTTATACACATCCCATTATTTTCCAACAACTCAAAAATTTTATTCTTATTGTGATGTTCAGTGTTGGATAGTAGCTTTGCCTATAACGGACAAAGAGTGGCTGCACTTATCAAGGTTATCATCTGAAATGAGATCTTATGAACCTAGTTTCCAAATTAAAATAATTTCAATTTATAGTGATCATAAAAGTTTACTCGTAGATTTTCAAGACTATATAGCGATGGAGCACAGAATTTTGTTGAACGAGCTTGTGAAAATTGCAATTTAGAAATGATAATATGTCCTTGTGTTAAGTGTAGAAATCTAATGCGTCATCATTATGATACAGTCTATGAACATTTGGTTATTAAAGGTATGGATCCTACATATACTACTTGGGTATTTCATGGAAAGCAACCAGGTGTATTAAATCAGAATGTTGTAGAAATGCCTGAGTTGAGTAGAATGTTTAAGGATTTCTATGCACAACATGATGTAGATCCTAAAAACCGTCCTGATGGAAGAGATGAAGAGATTGAACGTCTAGTTGATGATGCTGAAACTCCTTTATATCCTGGTTGCAGGGCATTTACAAAGATTTCAACTTCGGTTGCAATGTTTAAGCATAAAGCTTCACAGGGTTTATTAGGTAATGGTTTTGATGAACTTATAAATCTTTTTCAAGACATGTTGCCAGAGAATAATACACTTCCAAGCTCATTTTACGAGATGAAAAAACTTGTCAATACATTTGATCTTGGCTATGAAAAGACAATTGCTTGCGTAAATGATTGTTATCTATATAGAAAGGAGCTTGAGCATGCTGAATTATGTTCAAAATGTGGTTGCTCCAGATGGAAAATTAATCAACGGACGAAAAAAATTTAGAAAAATATCCCAACAAAAGTTTTACGTTATTTTCCTATAATCGTAAACTTAAGAAGATGTTTGGAATATATGAAATGTCAACACAACTTAGATGACACTCAAATAATAAAAGTTAAGATGGTAAGATTAGACATCCAGTTGATTCATTGAGTTGGGAAATGATTACTCGAAGGTGGCCACATTTTGCATTTGATCCTCGAAATATTAGACTAGGTCTTGCTACTGATGGATTTAATCCTTTCAAAGATCTTAGCTCCAAATACAGTTGTTGGCCAGTAATCTTAACTATATATAACTTGCCTCCCTCAATTTACATGTCAAAGGAAAGTTTGATGTTGAGTTTATTGATCCCGGGACTGAAACAGCCAGGTAATGACATAGATGTTTATTTTGCACCACTTGTAGACGACTTGATGACATTATGGAGTGATGGAGTTGATATGTATAATGTTGTTACTAAGTCTACATTCAACTTAAACACTATTTTTAAGTGGACAATACATTATTTTCCTGCATTTGGAAATATATCTGGGTGACCCGTCAAAAGCAAAATTGCATGCCCTTATTTATCGTGAGAATACATGTTCAATATGGTTGAAGCATTGTAAGAAGTTCGCATACATGGGACATAGAAAATTTCTCGCTTTTGATCATCCATTTCGCATAAAAAAGAGCTTATTTAATGGACATATTGAACATAGTAGTCTAGAATTCTTTTTTATTTCATAGGCCGATCTTTCTCCAACATGTTCATTTTTGAAGTCTCAATTGATGCAAGGCTCGTTCGACAGAAATTCTTCCAGTGGCATCAAGAAGCATCATACGGTTTTAAGTTTAAGTTCCAATTTTTTATATAAGTTCCGATTTTTGTAGTTTCCTAACTATATTTTGGTGGTACATGATTCGAGACTCTTATAAGTTTATTTTGGAAAAGAGAATGTGTTGAATATTTTACAAATGTAATGAGTATGTGTTTTTTAGTTTATTATTTGACTTGTTGGATCAAAGAACACGTTTGTCAGTTTATTATTTTGGTGGTTGTGTTTGATGTTTATAACCCACAAAGTGTGGATAGAGCAGTGGCCAGAATGCACTGGCTTCAGTGCAATATCTTTTGCAGCGTTTGGTCGAACGCTGCAAAAAGCTTATTATTGCAGCGTTTGGCCAAACGCTGCAATAGGAGGTCTTTTGCAGCATTTTCACCAAACGTTGCAATATGTCTCCTTTTTTGCAGCGTTTGGGCAAACGCTGCAAATGACCTTCTATTGCAGCGTCATTTGCAGCGTTTAGGTAAACGCTGCAAAATGAGGTATATCGCAGCGTTTTCCCAAGCGCTGCAATAGGCTTGTTTTTGCAGCGTTTTCCCAAACGATACAAAAAGAGGTCTTTTGCAGCGTTTTTTAAATGCTGTAAAAACTTTTGTCGCAACGGTAACACCGGGCTCCGCAACATACGTTAAAACACTGCAAATTACATTTTGCAGTGGTCAGTAGTGGTTCCACAGCAAAACATGCTTTTGATCACATATTTGAGCTCATTGGGCGTGGAGGGTCGTTATTGAGGGTGAAAATGGTATACTAATTTGGTGGAGGTGCCCATTTCTGTGGGAGGTGACGACGGGTGGCTGTGGCAGGCGACGGTGGGTAGTAGTATTGGCGACTTTAATGGTAGATTGTTTTGGTGGGATGGTTTTCGGGGGTTTGTAAAGGAGATAACCAATTTTTCCTTTTTATTTTTTGTTCTTTTATATTAAAATGGTAAAGTGGCCATTTTACCTTTATCTTATTTGGTTAAAATTATTAAATTTTTAATTTATGGAGTCACCTAATGGTTTCTAGAGTAAAACTGACGGAAATAGTCAATCTGAACTTGAGCCGTGAATTTTTAAAATATTTGATACCTACGATGGCACAAATGAAAGATTTGAATCAAGTCTGCTATTAAGTGAAATATTTGGTACCTTGGCTGCAATTTTCCTTGAAAATAATAATAATAATAATTAGTTTTGCTTTATGAACAATTAATATTAAGTTTTAGCAATAAAATCTTTCACGTACTCGAAAGGAGGATCCATTTTTTGCTCACTAAAACTTGAATGCACAATTATCGTTACAAATGTTTATATATCTCATTCATGCATGCAGCATCTTAATTCTGTAGATGCATACATACATACATATGCAGGATCGACCTAACTAAAGCTCGTTTGGTAGGGTATAATGTTGGACAGTATTAAACTCGACCAAACTTACATAATTTAACTGAGACAAATTAATTAGGAAGAGCCTCCCACCGATAAGAAATCTATAAATGGTACGCCATTTTTCTGCTGCTCGACTTCAATATCATCATCTTTCTTTGCGTGGTCTATCACTTCGCTTTTGTTCGATTCTGTGTTCACTTGTAGAAAATCATAGAACTCCACTGCCTGACTTTTATCTGCAATTTCAAATTAAATTCTGTGAATATTGATATTGTATTAATATCAGCTTCTAGGAAACAGTATAGTATGGTAACTGTGTGCTTGGATAAATTCTATAGATATCAGGGAACGAAGGGGAGGAAATAGTATAGATAATTGAATATTAAGAAAGAAGTAACTTTTGTATATTAATAAGTAAAACAACAATAATAACATATTCAAATATGTTTGGAAATTAAAAGTCACTTTACTTTTTTCTGGAATTTAGCTGAACATGCTCCAAGAGAAGGATACGAAGAATTAAAATATTTTATACATAATTTTTGGCTGACGGAAAAGAAATTCAGAAAGGAAAAACGAAAGAGAATTTAAAGGGGGGAAGGTCTTAGTGAGAACAATGGAACAATTCCCTCTCCCTTGCTTCGTGTTCAGCCTTTCTCATGTCAAATCTTGAGCTATTAAAAGTAAATTTTATTTTCAAAATGGTCACTAACGTGAACGTATTCATTTTTCTATCAATTCTAACACATACATAATTTTCATAGATCAGTAATAACAAGACTTGAAGTCAAGACTGCCTTAAACCTAATTTTCAGATGAAGTGGTTAACACTTACCACCCTCTCATCTACTCCGTTTTCCCTTGTACATGTCCAAATTAAACCAAATTTAAGCAATTTTCCTACTTCCAAAGATAAGGACCAGACCAAATCTTAGCTTTCGATGCAACATTACCTTGATCGTTCTTCATATGATGAAAAAGAATGTCTGGTGAATGGTGCTCCTGCCAAAATATAGGTTGCAGGTTACATGCTTGTGGGCTATCGAATATCTTGGAATATCTGTCTACAAATAGAGGATTGAAGCACAATTTCTTTTGGTGGTTTGAGGAGGGTTCTTCAACATCACAAGCAAATGTTCGCGAACTAGCTCTTTTTGCGTAAATTTTAGACCTTTCTCTGCATTTTCGTGCCATGATAACGTGCCAGTGATTCTTCACAGCATTATCAGTTCGTCCTGGAAAATGCCTGGCAATTATAGCCCATCGGTTCCCATGAATCCGGTGACAAGCAAGAAGCCGTTCTTCTTCCTCTTCGGTGAATGGATTCTGGTTTATTCTTGGATCCAACTGATTGAACCATCTCAACCTGCAACTTTTCCCTGATCAATAAAATTATTGAAACAATTAATATAATTGGTTACATGTAGCGGTAAAAATATATAGTCAATTTCTATCCTCATGTAATTTATAAGTGTACGTCCAACACTAGTAATTAATTTCCAAAACATAAAATTATTATATCAAACCCAAAAAACTAAGAAGTGATATATGTTACTCCTGTGATCTTCCTCTGACTTTCAATATTTGAGTAGCAATATGAGACTCAGAAGTAGTCGTTAAGATTGGAGCACTTGAACCTCAACTGTGAAAAATAATATCTTCGCTTGAGAAACATGATGTGCGGAATCGATCAGGAGGCGATTATGATTTCAAATGATTTTCCTTTTCATAAACATATCAAGCCCTAATTAAGAACTGCTACAGAAGCTTTTCTCCTCCCTTCTCTCTTGGAATACTATTGTTACATTATTTCATTTTTGAGTTTGAATGTGCTGGGGGTCGGGGGAGGGGTGGTGGTTGCCATGGACACATGTACAGTACTTGTAATTCACCTGATCTTCCATGTAGCTTTTCAGCTATGGCATTCCAGTTATGAGGTCCATATCGTCCAACTAATTCCCGGAGCTTCTCATCCTCAGCAGGCCTCCAATGGCCTCTACTGCACATGATCTATGAAAACGAGAAAACGCAACAAGAGACAACAGGAATAAACAGGTGGTGGATATAAGAAAGCCTATTGAGCTCCAAAATCTGTCTTATTAATCTATCTATCCTCCTAGCAATTTCTTCCTCAATTTCTGGCAAGCGATCAAAATTTCCATTACAGATGTCAAAAAAAATACACAGAACAGAAATTAGGAAGAAAGTAAAAAGATATGGTCTGAATTAAAGATTTACGTTGGAGGAAATTAGAGAATTGGACAAGGAGAGAGTTAATATATAAGGGAGATGACAAGATTTTTTCCGTTAGAGAGTGTAAGAATTTGGACAGACCACCATTAGTGATTGAGGCAACTTCTAGGCTAACCACCACTTGCTCAGATAGATAGATAGATAGATAGATAGAGAGAGAGAAGAAGAAGAAAAAAGGTTGCTTGGTAGGGTAAATGTCGTTCTCCTTTCAACATCGTTCCAAATTCTAACCTACAATACCCACCTATCTAGCTAATATATATATATATATATATATATATATATATATTTTTTTTTTTTTTTTCCTTCTGACATGTAACTAAAAATTAAATAATTGTTGGGGATATGATGAACTAGTTAATTGACTCATAAACTGTTGGAACCAATGTTTGTAAGAATCGAATCAGATGGATCTCGAAAAATTGAGAACTGGGCAAAAATAAAAAATTTAAAGCCTGATATAAAACTCTTAAGACACTAAATAAACTTGTTTTACTAGTTTTCCAAGTTTCATTTTAAAAAATGAACCTTTTTTTTTTTTTTTACGAGGGCTTCAACCTGGAATATTTATCTTTTCGGGACAGTATTTGTCGCGGTGGTTAAAATATTGGTTTAAACTTGTATTTAACTAATTAACCTAAATAAAATCTAATGCCAAACTAAAATCTGTCTTATGTTTCTTGTTTCCCATAAATTGGAAATAATTAATGTAATGATAACGTTATATCATCGGACAGAGAAGTTTGGTAATGTTATTAGACCTTGTAAAGACGTATGTACATATGGTAGTAGGTCTTGATCCCCTTTCCATGACCTAAATAAATAATAATTGGCTTACATTCTCAATATTGCACGTGGAAACAATATTGGTCTTCATTTGTGCATGATATGCATATTCATATATATATATATATATATATGAAAACTACACAATTTATGAAAAAGGCTCCACTTGGGGAGATGAATAAAAGCTTTTTCTTATTTTAAGTGGTGATTGAGATATGAATTCTACTTTTGATTTGTAGAGATAGGCTCTAAAAATGGGCGAGTTAAGTTATTAGATGAATATCAATAAAAATCACAACAATTTCCATACGAAGAACAAGCTTGGGAATTTAGGTTTTTTATAACAACATGAAACCTTAAATTAAAGTTTCGTCTTCTTTAATAAGAGAATATGAAGAAAACAAACTCTTGGTTTAAGTAATGCATATACTAGGTACCCAAATTAAGGAATTTTTTTCTACTAATAATTATATATATGGGAAATAAGACTTGTTTTGACCGTTGGCCTACCATTCTTTTGTTAAAAAAACTTAAAATAGAAACTCCATATCTCACCCACCATTTGTACAAAGGAAACTTGTAACTAAGCCGCTTTCTTCAACTAACAAATCCATGCGACTCTTCCATATATATCCTCTATGTACTATTAGATACGTATCTATATCACTACAAAAAGGCAAGATATTGACTTAGTCTACGTATTGTTGTTATGTACATGGAAGAGGGCTTGACTGTTCACCAGTTTTACCTACTTTGAATCTGAATCATCAGCAAATGTTTTTGTTGCCCTATTGATCCTATAATTAAGTTAATGAATTCTTAAATCATATACCTGTGCATAAATCTAATCTGTTTTGACTCATTAATCTGCACCTCAATATGGAAATAGGATTTCTGAGACAGCAAGTAACTCAACTTCTCAACTGTAAATTAAACTACTGAAAGCTAACGGCCGAACCATTTGAAGAAAATACTGGTTTTCTTCTCTTTTATGTATAGGATCAATTCAAGTGATCACCTACCTGACCTAAGTATACATTTACTGCTAAAAATATACTAACTGGATATGTATCTGCCATGTTTTCTACCACTTAATCACCTCATTACACTATAAGAAACAACGAAATATTTAAACCTTGTCTCCAATAAATTATTGTCGAATACAAGACCATTTTTTGGTCGCTTCCTATGGAGATTGGTTTTCAACACGTCACCCAATTTTAAGCAAAGTTGCTTATAGGTCACTTAACTTCAATTTAGTATTCAGGTCACCCTTCTTTGATTTGCTTACAACTATGGTCAATCTATCCACTGCGTCAGTTTAACCAATGTAATATGCTGCCGTAGGCCCGTAGACATTAAAATTAATGGATAATTGATATGTAAAACCTGCTTTTAGACCATACATTATTTATTTTTTTATTTTAAATCTCTTTTAAATTGAGTAATTTGTATTAGTTAAATTGACAAGACAATGGACCGAATGACCAGATTTTCCAAGCAAATTGAAGTTAAATGATTTTGATGCACCGGATTGAAGAAGAGTGACATGTATACAACTTCGATTAAAATTGGGTGAGCATGGTGCATTTAACACAAATAGAAAGAATGAAATTAGTATGCTGTTTTAATTAATGTGCTTTGAGTATAACTTACTTTTGATGAGCTTGTGGGCATTAGGTAGAAGACAGGGATGTAAATGTCCTTATTTCCATGGATACATTCCTCAATTAGGAACAATTTTATTTTAACCATATTGGTGGAAACCTTCGCACTGCCTTCTTATATATTATGTTGTTCACATATTTTTATACAAGTTCCAATTGAGAACAATATATTTATTTATTTCAGTATCATAAAAAAAGACTTCTCACAGGTTGAGTAATTATACTCTAGCAATAATAGGACAACTAATGCACTTATAAATTCTACATAGATAAGATATGAGAATGGTCTGCGGTTAAGTTAAATTTTTGAGACTAAACACAAATCTCTATGAATTATATCAGAGTCGTGCCTCGACTTAGTCATGTAGATGCGTAAGATGAATATTCATAGACCATGGAAAATCTGAACGAAGGTGTAGGTCCTAATTAGTTTTTGATCGCCCAAAAATCTATGGTTGATCTCAAAGTAGTTGCATCATATGGCACTTGAGTCTTCATGGAACCTAATATGAGGCAGGATAAATTATTGCTTGAGGGGATCAAAATGGGTGCTTTAATTGGGGTTGGATTGATGGGAAAGATCGAGTAAAAAGTTCCACATCAACTAGATAGGTGGATTATTTTGAGTTTAGGAGAATTCCGACTACTATAATAGGGTAACGTTTTAGAATGAAATCTTATATTTCTATTTGAAAGGTACTTGTACGATGAGAAAACTCACTAAATCTCTGCATTTGAAGCAAACTAGAAAAGGGACCGCATAAATAGATATGTTTAACTTTCAAAATACTAATCATTTATCATCATTTATGCATAAGAGTTAATGAGTTGAAGAAATGCACTTAAAAACCATAGCTTTCGGCTCAAGTGTTGAATACCACAACAATCTCACTAGTCCATGATGATTATTACAATTTATCCTCCCAAAATAGACTGATGGAGCAATATTAATATTTACCCTAATCACCCGACATTAAGGAAGAAATATAAGGATTAATTCTTCGATGCCACTCGAGAACTAAGTCCACTAACAAGAAGAAACTTTCGTTTTTCCAATAAAAAAGCTACACACGCAAATATATGTACATACATAGACGCGCGCGTGCACACACGTTCACTAGAGTTTGATATGTCTAGTTTCAAGTCACTTTATATGCTACAAAGTTAGAATGTGATGCAATGTGTAATGAATTTTGATTTGAACTTGAATTAGCAGTCAAGTGCGAAATTATGATGCTTAACAGAAAATAGGATACTAGAACTAAACCAGTGTGGCTGCAGTCTAAGAACAATGAGAATAATAAAGAAATTAAAGAACACATTTGAAATTAATGTTAGACATTATCATCAAGCTCAATCTTATCAGTTTTATTATTTTATTTTGAATTGCGTCCAGACCTTTGCTTCATTAAACAGTGTAAAATTATTTTGATCTACTGATAACATTAAGCTAACTAAAAAATGAACAGAAAAGCTTATTGGGCATCACAACTCACAAGCTTTAGGCCTGGTTCACACAATCGATATAGTTTCTCACTTATCACTTATAATCACTTGCTATCAGTGGCGAGGCTTACCAGCAAGACATATTCAAGCTGCATGGAGATATAGGAAGAAGCGATTAAGTCGTCCAGAAACCTCCAGCTCAAAATCTAAACATCGATATGGACCCTGACATTTATTTAGATATAGCACATAAGCTAATAGTTCTATAAAAAATCTAGGAAGTATTATGGCTTGAATAGTTATTATAAATATCTCCTGTACCAGTAGTACTATATATGTTAAAGCAGTGGTCTTAAAAGATCAGAACAAAGTCCAGGAGAACGGTGAAACAAACATGTACTGATGGAGAGATGATAATGGCTCTAGGCAGGTTTTCGTGACTGATGGAACATGTAGAAATAATAGTACCTAGTGTTGGAAATTTATTGTTCAAAATCAAAAGAAAAAAAAGGGGACTTAACCACGCGACCGCATGGATTAAGCCCATGCGGTCGCATGAGGCCCTCCCGAGCATGGGAAGGTGGCGATGCTATAACCATGCGACCGCATGGCTATAGCCCATGCGGTCGCATGGTTATCAAAACTAACTACTAGGTTAGTTTTTTGACCATTTTTTATTTGAAATTTGTGGCTTTCATTCTTGTTTTGCACCATTTCATGAAAAATTTACCAAAGCCTATAAATAGGTGATCCAAGGTCAAGAAACATAATTGAGTTCCATTAAAATTTATCCTCAAATATACTTCCAACATTGAGAAAATTTATCACATAATCCTTCCATTTTCACTTGTTCATTGTGAAGAAACGCATTTACTTTTTGGTGTTCTTCTTGTCAAAACTTGTTTAATTCTACGAACTATTTGCCGAAAATCCTTAAAAAATATTGGAAATGAGACAAATAACGTTTGAGGGCAGCGAGATTAATTTCGTGTTCAAGCCTCCATTGATGTACTTTAATAATTTTCTTCTCCATTGCCAATTTCATGTTCAAGCCTCCATTGATATACTTTTATAATTTTCTTCTCCATTGCCATTATTTTTTCAACATTCTCAAAAGTTACTTGTTACTATTATTGCAATGGAGGCGGAATCTACAATTGCTACTATCAAAAAGATGAATCAAGACCTAGTAAGCTTGGAAAGATTTGATGGTGCAAATTTCACAAGATAGCAAGACAAATTTAAATTTTTGTTAACGGTCTTGAAAATTTTCTACATGCTTAATCCAAAACTGGAGCCCA